CTTCAAAAGGAACAAGCACCCACCCTGATCATACAACGCACAACAAGCATACCTTGTGGCTTTGGATTCGCAGCTGAGTGTTTTGCTGGCGTTTTCCCATTTATTCCCTGCGCCTCTTCATCAGATGTATTCTGATCAGCCTCTGTAGTTGCGCTGCTTGTTGAGCAAGATGGAAACGTAGTGATACTTGGACAGATACTGCTGCCTGTGAGAGTCCAAAAAGAACAGGCAGGTGAATAGAGAGCTAGCAAAACTCTAGCTGGGGGAGTTCAATTTCTTCTGAGTTCATAAAGGAAAAGCTGTTACAGTTACAAGACTGAGCATAGAAATGTTTTCCCCCACGGACACTGGCCTTGAGAAGTTCTCTGTGCTTCAGAAACACATGGCTACACACACACCCCTTTCCTTGCAGGGCCGCCCGGGGAGGGCAGGGTGCAGCTGCTGTGATGTAGGTGAAGGAAAGGGCAGGAGAGCGCCAGCACTAATCCATTAAAAGCGTTCCTTCTAGCTCTCAGTCAACTAGCCTGTCGCAAGAACAGAGAAGGAAAGCACTCACATGACAGCTCACCTAAAGACTCCACAGCATGCACAAATACACACACACCACCTGCTTTCACCACAGCCTCCTGTCAGCTACCACGATATACTGTGGTTTCCAAAGCCAGAATGGCGAGATGATTGGTGTAACACGGTCACATTTATTGAAAGCCTAATACCCCCAAATTATCTTTAAAACAGCAGCAAATAAACACCTATGTTTTCTGCTCAATTTGTAAAAAAAAGGCCAGCTCAGTATTTTTCCTTCTACACTTAGTAAAGTTGCCTTTCTTACAATTGATAGGGTGATATCAACAACAGACTAGATTCTGAAGAGGAGACAGTACAATTTATATAGGTTGAACTGTGCCCTTCCAAAGCGTATGCTGGATTCCGGGTTCTTTTATCAGTTTCCAGACCGCTTCTTTTTTATATTGACAAGGCCATACCAGGGTAAGATGGATCCGAACCATAATCACTTCTGAATTATTAAAACTCCAGAGCAGATACACGCAGGACAGGGACAGAAGCTAGGAAGCAGTAGGGATCATGGGCAGATGGCAGAAAGCAACAAACACTCATAGAAGAAACTGACACAGCTGAGAATGTGTGGGCTTTTAAACTCCAGCACTATGAGAACGTAACCTTGTGTTCTTTATAGCCAGCCACTTTCAGTGAAACTAAGATCGGATGTTAAGCTAAGAAACTGGTTGGTTAAACTTAACAGTTTTATTTTTAAAGAATCTAAGTCTTTAAAAAAATCACTAACTAAAAATTGTTAGTGATAAAAGGTCTTATTACTTAAAACATAAATAGTTGAAAATGCCCTACCATTCAAACTGATTATGAATTAATAACTTAAAAAATACTGTTTTTTAAATGTTCTTTTAAATGTATCATGCTAAAACAAGATTGTTTAAAATAGCTAATAGTTCCAAGCATTGTCTGAGATGTGATTAGTGAACCAACTGCTAAAACCAATTAAATGGGTTTTCATCAGACACCATTCTGTTATAATGGCATATGTACCAAATGAATTTAACAATTGTTTACCCAAGGAAAAAGATTTGAAAGATTATTAACATCATAAACTGAAGAAATAAAAGCTCAAAGCGGGAAATGTGTGAGCTAATTGACTGTTTTAGAGTAACTAGAAAGAGTAGGCAAAGAAGACTCCTAAAATCCATAGCATATAATCCAATCACTGTGGAGATTAGGATATTTTTTCCAGTGATTGAATGAATGGCAGTTTAGTAGCCTGAAGGCCACCTGTTTGAGCGTAGCAGAGGATGGCCTTGGGGCAGAAAGTGTGATGTACCACAGTTCAGTTACACACCACAGGAAGAGGCCATCCCTAGCTGTAAAAGGAGACCCTTCAGAAGAAAGAATGCAGCTTTTTAGTCCATTTACACATGTGAGAAGCAATAAAGCCAGTAAAAGGGGCACTTAATGGATTCAATGAGAAAACTGAGTCTTTAAAAAACAAAGCTATTAAAGTAATAAAAGTCATGTGGATTAGAGGTTTTGCCAATGGCAATAAGCCCACAATCAGAAACTTCCTTTCAAATTTTCACTTCAAATAAGTGGTGAAGGACACAGAGAACCCTGTTCTTTATGTCTTTAAAAGTTTTATTGAAAAAAAGAAAAGCAGCAACGAGTTGCACCAGAGACCATAAGTGGCGTGCAAAGCTTTAAATATCTCTAGCCCAACACAGAAATACTCATTGACTAAAGGCTTCAATCAAACCTAGCATGGTGGGGAAAACGCTTGGTGTAACTATTACTGCTCACCTCTTGGATCCTAGCCCCACACAGTAAAACTCTGCTAGCTTACGGTCAGCTCACATTAGGAGATAGCCTATGTGGGGAAGGGGGTGGGTGACAGTTGCAACAAAAAAAAGGGGGGGGATTTGAACCCAAAATTTTAACTAGGTTCACTCATTCAAGAATTCTCACAGAAATAAAGGCTTTTAAATAAATTATCCTCTTAGATTACAAATTATCAATAGAATAGGAATGTTTTATTATAAAATATTCACCTTAGATATGCACATAACTGATTCCAGCATGTTTGTTAGCAGTGCAGGGGGAGGTTCCACTAAATACTATTTACTTGACGACTGTAATCTTTTTAGTCACAGGACCTAACTAACCCAGGTTGCTTTGGGTCTTTGAGTCAGACCTTCTGTAGGCACGTTTGCTAGCTGTGGGGGCTCCTCACCCCTTCATCGTCAGTTCAGCCTCCCCTTTAACTACCCGAGACCTTCTGTTCCAGTTGGGGTCTTCCAATTATAATAATGGAATTGTTCATTTTTAAAAACTCTTATTAGCCTGCCTCTCTCTCGGGATACTTCAATAGTCATTGAGTGAGTGACGGAGGGAGGGAGGGAGGGAGGGAGGGAAGGAATGAGTGTGTGTGCAGCAGATATTCTGACTAGTTAGGGTGACTTCTGGCTTCTATATGACAACTCTGTGGTAGGCAAAGCTTATTGGTTTGGTTTTGTGTGACTGCGATCTTTCTGGATTGGCTCTTTAAGATTAAGTTTTCTCGTGGGTTAGCCATATGAAAGGCTGGTCCACTCACTTGTGATACTTCAAGCCTGATCTCTTGCTATGGTGTCCATACCCTTACAGCCATGGCAAGACTACTTCACGTCTCCGTCAGCTTTCTCCCAATGGCACCAAGTTCCCAGCACCAAAGATCTTGCGGCCCTCACCCTTTGGAACAAGAGGATCGCTTGGATTTAAGAGGGCAGGGACAGTTTTCTAGGAGAGACAATATTCCTCAGAATAGTGTGTACAGAAATAAGAGATGCTTGAAAATGTGCACAGACAGTCCAGCGTTCCTATAGGCCATTCATTCAAGTTCCTCTAGTGTTAGCCGCCTACAGAACCATGCCATCATGATCAAAACTGAGAATTTGGCATCAGCCCAATGCTAAATTACAGGTTTTATTCACATTTCAGAAACCTCTGCACTAATGTCCCTTTTCTGTTCTAATTTGGAATATCATGTTGCAGTCAGTTGTTATTGTCTCCGTAGGGTCTCCTTTCAATCTTTGAATTTCTCAGTCTTGACTTGACTTCTCAAGAGTATTAGTCAGGTGCCCTGGAGAGATACAAGATGGGCTACTAATTGCAAGGTCAGCTGTTTAAAACCACCAGCCACTGTGCTGGGGAAAGCTGAGGCTCCCTACTCCTGTTAAGAGCTGGTCTCCCGCAGGGGCGGTTCTTCTCTGTCAGGAATTTTGTAGATTGTCTGTCACATTGACATCTCTGGTGTTTCCTCATGAGTAGACTTAAGAGAGGCCATCTCAGGGCAGCATGTCACGGCATCATTACCCCACTGCTGTCAAGTCCATTCTGACTCATGACGACACCATGGGGCTTGGAGGCTGTAAATCTTTATGGAGAGCAGATACCTCTCTAACAGGGAGAGACTACTAACCCAATGCTTAACCCACTGCGCCACCAGGGGACCCTTTAGCCATTATATGCAATGTTAATTTGGATTACTTGGTAAGTAGACCAGATTTCTCCACTGTAAAATAGTCTGTTTTAGAAAAGTGGGTGAAGGGAGACGTCAGACAGTGTAAGACATAACAAAATAACAGTAATTTATAAATTATCAAGGATACGGAAGGGACGGGGGGCGGGGAGGGAGGGGGGAAATGAGGAGCTGACATCAAGGGCTCAAGTAGAAAGAAAACGTTTTGAGAATGATGACGACAACAAATGTACAAAGGTGCTTGACACGATGGATGGATGGATTGTGATGAGTTGTACGAGACCCCAATAAAATGATTTTAAACAGGAAAAAAACTTCTGTTATAAGCAATCCATACTTTTCCTATCTGTGGAATACAAAAAGAGTGTTCCCCAACTTGACTCTCCCAAACATAGATGTCAGATTTAGGACACTGATTTGTCAAGTTATCTCCTTGAAGACACCAGCCCTCCAGAGCAAGCAGACACCATTGTTTCTCCCACAATAGGTGGGCTCACTCCCTCCTGCTGGTAGGGACAGTGGATTGCTTCCCCTGAAAGCTTAGGCTAAATAAAGTCTCCAGCTGTAGGCCCATCAAGGTTAGGCCTCCATCCTGAATTTAAGATCTGCCCATCTTGTCATATGTGTGCCCCCAATCCCTCCCCTTCTGATTGCGTGTATACCCCGAGATCGTTCCCCTCTCATTACTGTATTGCCTGTAGTACAATCCTTTCCTGTGACATATGCTTTTACCTGTAATTAGGGGGCTTGCACGTCCCCTAAAGATATATAAGCCTTGGTTAGCAATAAATCTCTCTCCTACCCTGTACCACCAAGAGGAGCTGAAGTGAGCATGCTACCATGAAATGTGTCTGACGCCTTCATTTTACCCTCTCATCTCTTATTTTCTATGACTTTACTATAATAATTTACTTATTATCGCTGTACAATTGTGCCTACTGGACCCGTGGCGATTTCTTAGGGGCTGGCTACCCTGACACCTATCATCCCTTTAAAACTCCCCTAATTTATGAAAACAAAACACACTCACCGTCATTGAGTTGGTGTCAATTTGTACAGACCCCACAGCCCAGAGTAAAGTGTCCTGTGAGTTTCTGAGACTAACACTCTTTATTGGATTAGAAAGCCCATCTTTCTCGTGCAAAGTGGCTGGTGCTTTC